TAATACAGGACGGAAGTATACAGTAAATGACAGAACCCTTAGAAGCATTAACATACAGAGAGATGCAGGTGTACAGGTCCACAGTTCCCTGAAAGTGACAACACAAGTCAAGAAGTTATATGGCATGCTTGCCTTCATCAGTTGGAGCATAGAGAATAAAATTTGGCAAGTCGTGTAGCGATATAGAATTTTGGGTTGGCCACATTTGGAATATTGTGTACAGTTCTGGTTGCAACACCACCAGAAGGATGTCGCAGCTTTGGAGAGGGTACTAAAACGGTTTACCAGGATGTTACCTGGTTTGGAGGGTATTAGCTATGAGGAGAGATTGAATAAACCTGTTTTGTTTTCACTTGAACATTGGAGGCTGAGGGCCAACTTGATAGAAGTTAACAAAATTATTAGAGGCATGGATAGTTGGAATCTTTTTCCCAGGGTAGAAATGCCAATTACTAGGGGACATAGGTTTAAGGTGAAAGGGGGAAAGTTTAGAAGAGATGTGAGGGGTAGATGTTTTACGCAGAGGTGGTAAGTGCCTGGAATGCGCTGCCAGAGGAGACGGTAGGAGCAGATACAATAGCATGAATAGCTTGACAGATGCATGAATAGGCAGTGAATAAAGGGATATCGAACACATAGAGGTAAAGATTATTTTTTGTTCAGAAAGCATCATATGTTGGCACAGGTTTGGTGGGCCAAAGTTGTTCCTGTGCTGTATTGTTCTTTATTCTTTGTTCTACAGTTAATAAAATTTTAAAGTAAAATTAAATGTTTCAGTTGATATCTATAGATCACTCAAAAATGTATTAATCTTGTACTAAAGCAAAGTTTGACCTCAGCAGCTACACAAAATATTGAAAAATATAAAAAGAGATAAAACTAATGTGTAGCCTGCTAGATTGTGCATAATTCTTCATTCTTTTGATGTTGAACTTAGTGGGAAAATAACAAAATGTTTCAACCTTCTGACAAGAACATGATACTGGGTATAACATTTTAAAAACAATGTTATTGTGCTTAAATTTTAGATGCTTTTAGATTTAAAATTTAGATGGTTAAACCTCATGAGTGAGTGAATGAGATTTTAGCCTTCTGTAGCTTAAACTTTATGGTATTGCTGTAGAGTCTGCAAACTTTAAAGCACTGTCGACAGCTTGAGACTCTCTTTCCCCACCCTTCTCTCTTCTCCACCCCCATGCCCCCTCTCTCTCATTACCCTCCTCTTTCGTTTTCCCCTCTCCTCTCTCTTTCCCCCTCCTCTCTCTTGCCCCCTTCCTTTCAGCTCTCTCTTCCCCTCATTCTTTCTCCCCCTTTTTCCCTCTCCCCTCTTTCATCTGTGCTTCCCTTTCCTTTGTTACCTCTTCCCACCCCTCTGCCCCTTTCCGTTGCCCTCCCCTGCCTCTCTTTTCTCTGCACTACCCTCTCCCTCGCCCATCCTCTCCTTCCTTCCCTCTCCTCCTGTCTTCTTCTTCCCTCCTCTCTCCTCCTCCTCTCCACTCCCTTCCTCTTCCACTCTCCCCTCCCCCTATTTCTCTTCCAGTTCCTCTTTCTCTTCCCCTTCCTCTTTCATTTCCTCATCCTCTCTCTTTCCCGCCTGCTCTCTCTTTTCTCTTCCCCTCCCCTTTCTGTTCTCCTTAATCCCCCTCTTCTCTCTCCCCCTCTCTTCATTGATTTCCCCCTCTCTCAACCCTTCTCATCTGCTCTTTTCGTCTACCATCACTGCCCCCCCGCCCAGCTTTTTACCCTATCTCCTCCTTTCTCTTTCTCCTCCTGCTACTTTTCCCCTCTCTATTACCTGTCCTCTCTCTCTCACCCGCTCTTCTCACTCTCTTCCCTCTCTCTTTCCCCTCCTTTCTCTTATTCCCCCTTTCTCTTAGAGCCTCTCCTCTCTGTTCCTCTCTCTTCTCTCCCCTCCTTTTTATCTCTCTTCCTTTCTTTTCTTTTGCTTCCTGCTAACCATCCTGTCTTTTGCCCCCCCGCTCTTCCTCCCTACCTCCCCTTCTTTATTCTCCCTTCTGTCTTTACTCCCTCCCCTTCTCTTTACTCTCCCCTCTCTGTCTTACCCCATCTCTTTTCACCCGTCTCTCTTTCTCCCCCCTCTTCTCTCTT